TCAACGTAAGAGGACATGACTGTTTATTTACTCCTGCAAGAGACCTGTGTGAAATCCTGAATTATCTGCCAAAACCGTCGCCCTCTCCTTAACCCTGGTGCCTCCAAGTACAGCCTTTCACAAAAGCCAGAAAGCAGAGGTAGATAAGCAGCCAGAGAGAACCGAGTGGACAATCACAGGATTCGACGTCTGACCTCATTCACCATTTCCTCCAGGACTGTCTTCTGCCAGTTCCCTGCTGACCTTCTGCCCTCTGCCCTGCCCACTGTCCTGCCCCTACCCTCAAAAGGAGGGTGAACTGGGTAGGCAATTCTTATTCTGAACACATTCGGCCCATCTTTGTGCGGACTCTGGAGTTCCTTAGAGCAATCTTGGTTGGGGGACGTGGCATTGCATTCCACGTGGATCAATGGATTGATTGGCAGACCAAGAAATCACAAGCTCTGGGTGTCGGATTAATTTAACTCACATGAACTGTGAGCCTGTGGTTGGCTGGGATTTGAGTCTGGGTGACATCCAAGATCTGAAACCCGGGAGGGCCTGGACAGGCAGGAAGAGAAGCGGGTCTTGTGCAGTGGCCGGCAAACTGTGTCCCGGGGGTCAGACCCAGCCTGCCACCTGTTTTTGCACAGCCTATGAGCTAAGAATGGTTTTTTACGTCTTTTAATGGTTGGAAACATCAAAAGAAGAGAATTTTCTAACATGTAAAAATGAAATGAAATTCAATTGCAGTGTCCATCAATGAAGTTGTCTGGGACCACAGGCATGCCCATCCACTTATGAATGTATTGTCTTTGCCTGGCTGCTCAGCAGCAGAGCTGAGTAGCTGTGACAGAAACCATATGGCTCCCAAAGCTGAACGTGTCTACCTTCTGGCTCTTTACACAAGAAGTTGGCTTATCCCCGCTGTCATTCATTTTTATGAGAGCGTAGTCTGGTGGAGGAGGCGAACGAAAAGGGAGCTTTTTGAGTGTTACCTAATGTGCTTTACAGCTATGAGTCCACGTAATCCTCACAGCAGCCATGTGACTGAGAACTGTTATCCTGGTTTTCCACATGAGCAAACGGAGAAGCACCCAGTCAGAAGGGGGTGGTGCTGGGATCTGCCCTCGGCACTGGGACCACCATGAACCAGGGCACAGTGACGATGACCAGGGAAAGGGCAGAAGCAGTGCCCAGGCAGGCAAAGAAGGTCGTGAACAGAGTAAGATTCAGAAGCACAGAGCTGTTAAGAAAGAGCCTCCAGCCATCGCCAGTTTGGCCTCAGTGGATAGAGCGTCGACCCGGGGACTGAAGGGTCCCAAGTTTGATTCTGGTCAAGGGCATGTACCTTGGTTACAGACTCCTGGCCCTGGTCGGGGTGCATGCAGAAGGCAACCAATCGTGTTTCTCTCGCCGTCTCTCCCTCTCTCTCTAAAAATGGAAAAATATCCTCGGGTGAGGATTAAAAAGGAGGAGACTCCAGGTGGAGGGTGTTCCGTGGGGGAAGGGAGGGCGCCCGAACGGTTGGTATTTACTGAGTGGGAGGAGCTGAGCCCAGAAACTACAGTTGGACTGGCTCCTTGGCGTGACAGCTCTGCCTGGCGGTGCCTAGAAAACAGGCTGTGGCTGGTGCCTGGCACACCTTCACCCAGGGGGGTCCGGTGAGGCTTGGGGTGGGGTGCAGCTCATCCCCGGTCAGTCCGAGTATGAAGTGTATGCTTACTCACACTCGGTCTCTGGACGCTCCCTCTGGCACTGAGCCTGACCTCCTCGGTGGTCATTTTCTGCTACACTGTCAGGCCTTCATGCTGGGGGCCTGGCAGGGCAACCAGAGCCTCCTCTGTGCCAAGTACTGAATTGGGTATTTATATGTGTGTAAAGGCACGACCTGTGGCTGAGGGCTTGGGAATAAAGGTCAGAGAACAAACGAGTTTAAATTCTGGCTGTCACTTACTGTGACCTGGGGTGGGGGAGGGTGCCTCTCACCTCTGAGCCTGTTTTCTGTTTGCCCGTCTGCAGGAGGGGAGAGTAAGAGAACCAGCCCCCCAGGTCATGCTGAGCATTAGGCACGGAGAATGGCAGCTCCTATGATGTCTCCCTTAGTCTTCACAGCCCATTTCACTGATGAGGTGACAGGCTCAGAAGTTTGCCCAGGGTTGGCAGTGACCAGATGGTGGAGCTGGACAGCCAAAGCTCAGGTTCTCTGCCCTTGACCATGGCAAGAGAAGCCATTCCACCTTTGTGTACCCATGTCCTGCACAGCTTTTCCCCCCACGGTCTGAAGGGCATGGCGTATGGAGGAGGGGCTGGGGGTGCTGGGGACAAGCGGGGACACCTCCACTCGCTGCTCAGGCCTCCAGACGAGTGCTTTGGAAGCAGCAGCAGCTGCTTGCTTTGTTGTTCCGCTCCTGCCACTGTCCACAGACACAATCAGGGGTCTCAGGTGGGGAGCAGGACCTAGCGTGTCTCAGGCCTCTGGTTCAAGGCCAGGTTCTCTGCAGTGTGACCGCTGGCAGAGTCTGTGGTGGTCACAAAGCTACCTGTCCACAGCGTCTCAGCACTCTAGAGTGGCTCTTTTCTCTGACACTCACACCAAATAGCCCAGGCCTCCACCCCACACATTCCACAGCCCAGCAATTTACCCAAGATTTCACGTAGGTGGTTTAGAGGGTTTTTTGGTGTTTTTTTTTAAAAAATCCAGTTCTGAGTCCACCTTTAAACCAGAACAGTGTAATTACTGATATTCATGTGAGTCTAAATCATTGTGGGCTTTGTTTGTTCCTCCTGGTCTGTTTTTCTCCTTTACCACTTTTTTTCTACGTGTTTGGAGGTTAAATGCTGTTTCTATTAGTTTAGGGGTTTCCCTCTTGCCTACTGTGAAGTCAGCCTGTTCCCACTCTGATTCTTGCCCCCATTAACTCCCCACTGTGCTCACTTCTTGCCCCTTGTCTGCTGTTCTCTTCCCCCCTTCTCTTCAGGCATTCACTGCTAAGGTTGCAACCACCTTTTACTTACCCCATAGGTAACACGGGGTTGGGGGGAATTCAAGTTGGTAAGCTTCTTAGAGCCCCGTGCATGAGGATTTTCAGCCTGCACATTGTCCCTCCTTAGGTCCTAGCCAGTGCCCTCTAACTCCAGGTGTGGTTTGTATTTTTTTGGTTTTGTTTTTTCATAATTTGTTGTTGTTGTTAATCCTTATCCCAGGATATTTTTCCATTGATTTTTAGAGAGAGTGGAAGGGAGGGGGAGAGACAGAGAAACATTGATGTGAGAGAGACACATTGATTAGTTGCCTCCTGCATATGCCCCAACCAGGGCCAACGATCGAGCCTGCAACCTAAGTACATGTCCTTGACCGGAATCGAACCCGGGACCCTTCAGTCTCCAGGCTAACGCTCTATCCACTGAGCCAAACCAGCAAGGGCTAACTCCAGATCTTCTCTCCCAGAGTCCCACCCCCACCTCACACCTTCCTGCCTTGCCCATTTTTACTCCTTGGACTTCTTGTTATCTGAACTCAAGTTAAATCTGCTTACTTGTTAACTGTCTCCCACTAAGCTCCACAAGGGTATCCTTTCACCACTGTACCCCCAGGGTCTGAGGCTGGGCATGGCATACAGCAGTGAAGACAACGGAGCGAATATTTGTTGAACTAATACAGCGGTTCTCAACCTGTGGGTCGCGACCCCTTTGGCGGTCAAACGACCCTTTCACAGGGGTCGCCTAAGACCATCCTGCATATCAGATATTTACATGATTATTCAAAACATTAGCAACATTACAGTTATGAAGTAGCAACGAAAATAATTTTATGATTGGGTCACAACATGAGGAACTGTATTTAAAGGGCCAGGAGGTTGAGAACCACTGAACTAAGGGGTGAATGCTGGCAACTCAGTCCTCAGCGGGAACAATTACCTGTCAGTCCCAGTGCCACCGGTGCCACGAAGAGGAAGATAGGTCTCTTGGGATCCCCTCCCCACCCGAGGTGCAGGGGCGTGGACCGCCCACCCTCTGGGTCCCTCACAGCTGAAAAACCAGACTCGGGGAGCAGGGAAAGTAACGTACTAAGGTTTTTAATACAGTCTGATCAGATCAATTCACATCACGAGGTCAACCTGGGCTTGCTCACATGTGACACAACTGAGGTACACAATGTCCCCACCTGCCAGCTCTCCTGTCTTCCTGCCTCCCAATAGCACTGAACCCCCTGCCTCCCTGACCAGACTGGCATTTTTAAAATTTTGCATAAAACTATTTCTTCCATAGACTCCAAACAATCGACTAGCCAAGTTAATTATGGTACATCTAAACAAAGTTTAATACTAACCCTAACCTGTGACTGCGGTTTACAAAGAGCTCTGTATCACCTGGGATAGCTTTCAGTAGCAATTCACTACAACTGGTCCTAAAAAATAATAACAATAATAATAATAATTAGAGAATTAAAACCCAACAGCAAGTTGAATGGTTAAAAATCACGTAAGAACTGGAATTTGGGGTGGGAGTGTCCTCAACAGCTAAGCTTGTCCTAGTAGCAAAATGCTAGACTCCAAAGCAGGGCTCAGAAAATTCTGGGGCCCTCCAGGTCAAGGGTCAAGCTCAGGGGGGCCCTTGGAGGACACTCGCCCCCTGGTCCATAAGATGCTGTAGGCTTCCAGCTTCCTTCAAGACAGTGGGGCAGCAGAGTTGTATACGTGGGTGGAGACCCTACTGTGTTTTCTCTTAAGGGATATGAGATGAGGGAATGAGGGATTAGAGAAGGGGGAGGGGACCAGAATCACTGAGGTCCCAGAATGCCATCGGGTGTGGGTTTGGGATGGGGGTCACTAAGAATTGAGCACCAGGGATTCCAGCTTCTGCTCACTAGAGGAGAAACTGGAACTGGTGCTGCCTTGAAGGCCTATGTAGTGTTTCCTGCCCTTGCCCCGTGCTGGGCCTCGCAGACATTTCTGCAGAGTATCAGATGAGGATCTATC